GGCATGCATATTGCAAAATCTATTTTGAACTTATATTCATTCTTCTTGAAGGGCTTGAGAACGCAAAAATTGCTTTATTGCTATGAAGAACAGATTTGAGGCTTCTGCAGCTATCAGAAATCCAAAAAAGGGAAAGTTCGAAAGTTTAGCGGTCACGGTTTTTTTTCAATTCCCCACAATCCTTTTTTCTACTTTATAACCCGGTGCGCTTAGGGCAACTTTGCAATTTGATGGCTTTCGTGCGTACTGCCATCGCGTAGATTGATTAGAAGACCTCTTTTTCTCATTATTGCATTTGATGTGTGAGGGCATCCTCCCATATCCTATTTCGACCTTATGTCCCTTAGCAAGGATGATGATGGCACTTTTGCACGAATACCTATTTCGCAATTTTATAGCTGCCTGCAGTAACTCCTTTCTCTCTCTCAAAAAATACCTGATATTTTCACCTGCGTCACCAGGTGCGATAATTTTATTTTTTTATAAATTCAATTCTGCCTATGAATTTGCCATCAACAAGTGTGTAGTAAACAATTTAGTGCTTCTTTGATGCCATATTTTGGACAAAACTCTCAAAGTATTATAAAATATCACCAAATTTTCATCTTAATTTACACGAATTGGTAGATTGTTTGATTTTCCTTGATTCGAATTACACCCATAGACGAGTATATATTAACGGTCTGGTTCATGGTTTTGATGGGATCCGATAGGAAATAATCTTATTACTCACTTTCTTGTATTTTCCATTATCAAATCTAATAGCGCCTTTAGTCAAGACACTGCGTCAGCGCACTTACGTTATTGTTGCCTTAGCTTATGAAATTTTTCAGCTTTTCTGTCTGAGTGGTGGTGGGGGGAGGGGGTAGGGGTAATTTTTCAAATACAGGAAATCACAATGCAGCTTGGCATCGTCTACGGTGACAAATCAGATTGTTGCCGGAAGCTGTCTGGAGCTAGGCATTATTAATAACAGATACTCGAAGTTTAGTCAGCAAGTTTTCGTTCCACAACTTTTTTTTCATGAAGAAGAGACAGAAAGGTAAGCTCCAAGAGTATGCCTAAAAGGACATCATCGTCTATAGGTCACGTTCTTCTCTACTTATGATGCCCCTCAAAGCGCATTTCGCGATTGGTTTTGTAAAAAAAGAAGCCTTTTCTTCGTCAAAAAACCTAATTTTTTATCTTCCCACGCATTATAATCACTCTGATTGTCTTCTATAGTGTGTAGGTTTCTCCGTCGTTAAGTGGGCTGGATTAGCCATCAAAAATTTTCTCTAAATTGATTTCTCTAGAGAGAAAAAAAGGTGAGCGCAGTGGTTCTGCTATAGTTATTCGAATGGAAAATGATGGATTTTATCTTAGAGTTAGAAACCAAATAATGGGCCGAAGACCTCTCGTGAACCAAATTCATCAAATCTCGCTCTCTCCTCCTGTTTAAGAGGCAAATGTCTCCGGCTGTCACCAATTAACAATTTATCTGAAAACTTCCGAAATTTTCTAAGCAAGTCCTCAAAATATATCGGAGTAAATGCTTTGTCCTAGTAGATATCAAAAGCTACCATTCGCTGAGTCACGGCTTTTACTGATAAATTGACCAAAATAATCAAGAATTCTTACTTGACTGCTATTTATTTTCAAAGGATTTTCCATATTATATTAGGTTGGCTAATAAATGAGATCGGTCGCTTTGCAGCTTTCAGGAATGCTGCAGACAAATTTTTTGTCCAGTCTTTGCTATCTCTGGAAAGAGCACTTCAGTGGGAATTGGATTATTCGAGTGAACCTATCTTCCAAAGAAAAAAACCCGCAGAGAATTGAGGAGCCCTAATTTTCTCATACTGCGAAAATACGAGGAATTTTGGTTTTTTGGTAAAAATTTTCATAGCAGCAGATCGTAATTTTTTATGTTATTCACTAAATAGGAAAAACTCCTTTGTATCCAATACCAAACTGCTGTTCTCTACATCCACTAAACCATGAAAACGAAGCTTAGGATTTCAGAGAATTGAGCTTTTGGAAATTTAGCCATGTTGAGGCATAACTGTCTTTACTGATGATAGAAAATCCTAAACATTTAGTATGTGATAGAGGAAGCATTGAACTACTTTCTCACAAAAAATCATGGATAGAAAATAACTAGAAATTTTTTTATGAAGATTTGCATGCTAAACCGAACTTATTTTTAGCCAACCTAATATTTTCCAAATATTTTCCGATGTGGTAAAAATGATAAAACAATGCAACTATGTGATATTTTTCTTAGAATTTTCAAACTCCCTGAGAACAATTCAAGTCAATAAATATTCGCAATTGTCGATCTGGCGACAAAAAACGCACCTCCACACCCCTAGTCCCCTCCTACCTCACCCCCTCCCCCTCCCCCTCCCGCCCATAATGTCATTCAGAACATAAGAAGGCCATTATGGCTCTAGATGTTTCTATACCAGCCTAATGCACACATAAGCTGTGTGAACACTGCTCTGTTCTCGCATCATTTACTTTGCTCGCGCGCGAGAATGATACTACTTCTACTTTCGATGACGCCATAAAACCAGCGTCATGGCTGGGTGTTTCAAACTGAAGCCCCACACTCGTTGCTTGATTTCCATAAAAAGAACATCCAACAGCTGTTTTAATTCAGTTGAGTGCACGTAAGTCCACAACTTTAATGAAGAAACGTATCTCATCGATTGAGCTAATTTATTCCTCGTACATCAGGAAGCTATGGCCATGTTCATCCTTATCCCCTTCCCCCATCTTTGTCTTTCCAAATACGCACTTGTGGATAGGTGTACGTTTTGTGAACTTACGCATGATTACGCGAGACATTTTGCATTTTCGCTCACGCTTCATTTCACAAAGCACTTCAAACCTCTAGCAGAGGCAATCACTCAATGTAAACGGACTATTTATGAACGATAACTTTTATGGTTTGCTTTATGAGGGAAACATTCAGGGGGAGGAGCTGAACCTTAGTGGGCGGAGCTTCGGAGGTGGAACGACAGTCAAAAGGCAGTCTAAATTGATTCTCTATGGCTACTCGAAAATTTGGATCGAGATATTTTAGCAAAATTTTTCATATTTGACCGTGTATAAGGCTAGGCTCTTACTACGTGACTCTTTTACAGTAATATTTTATAGTTTTTTAGAATTCACTCAAATAATAATTTCATCATTGTTCTTTTGTAAGTTCAAGTTATAATCTCAAGCTTAGGAACTTCTACCCCACCCCCTGAAATGTTGTAGATAAGTAAGCTGTAAAAAGCTTGCATTTTCAATTTTGAAATTTTACAGCTTCAACAAAAACTGCAAGAAAAAGATTTCCATAGCATATTAGTCAAAATCTCGCAAAGGTCTCTTCCTTATGATGTAGAGATGTTGGCCGAACTGCAATTTTTCTTAGATTTTTTTGGATTTTTTAACCACTGTTAGCACTTCGCAGCTCTAATAAACGCCCTCAGCACTTTTCGCGATTGAATTTTTTTTCATTTGAAAGTTCCAAAAAAGTTTTAGTCAATAAATGCGCAGCGCACCTCAAGAGCTTTTTTTATATACCTCGTATTATAGTTATCATAGTTTTTAAGTATCATACAATCTTGAAAGTTATTATAAAAACCAAGCTTTTGAAAGATCTATTAGATTGGTCCGAAAGTTTTGTCAGTTTCTTCAATCCATCGGCAGACAGGCTAGAATGAAAATAAACATACGCTTCAAAATGTATCCAGTGCAAAATTTCTTTCTCTTTCCAGCTGCTAAGCTCCCATTGTTGTTTTGTTTGTGACGAGATATATGCTGAAAAAATTACAACCATTCGTTTTTACCATGTCCAATTTTCGCTAATTTTCAAAATTTTTGTATGAGACTTTCGGAGGAACCCTGATAACCAGCACATAGGGCAAACCTTTTGCCAACAGAAGCAATTTTTTTGTAGCCCTGCGGCTCGTCTTTCAGAATTTCTACGATTTATTTTTTAAAATGACCAAATTCTACATTAAGCCTATTTTAACCTCGTAGAACATAAAATGTTGAACAGTTCAGTCACAAATCAATGCAAATTTTTTCCTCTTTCTAACACTTGTCTTTTTGCCGAGACAGGCGAAATTTGTGGGGGGGGGGGGGGGGGGGGAATCGCAGTATTTCTCAATTTCAGGAATGCGCACTCACGTAACCTATGTTTCAAAATCTTCATAATTTGAAGAGAAAATGGCTCATTTACTTTGTGATGGTAGCGGTAGTAATAATCGTGTGTACCTCAGTATTCTGTAGGTTTTTCAATGTTTGGTGCAATAACAGGTTATGCGAATTTTCCGAAACACAAGACTTTTAGAAAATTATTTAGCAAAAATCTGAAAAAGCAGCTGAAAAAAAAGAAAAAAGTTGCATAAGCTGGCAAAAGGTTTGCCCTATCTGCTGGATATTAGGGCTCCTCCGAAAGCCTCATGCAAAAATTTTGAAAATTAGAGAAATTTGGACATTGACATTTACATTTAATTTGGACATGGTAAAAACGAATGATTGTAATTTTTAGCAAATATCTCGTCACTCTCGCAAGGAAACACAATGGAATTTTAGAATCTGGAAAGAAAAAGAAATTTTAGATTGGATACATTTCAAAGCGTTTGTTTATCTTTTTCCTAGCGTGCTTGCCGATGGATTGAAAAAAACTGACAAAATTTTCGGATCAACCTAATATATACAAGATTGTATATTTATACTTTGAAAGACATTTCAAAATTTAGTCACATTGCAGCATTCTCTTCCCGTTCCCTACCTTTCACTCTCCTCTTACACTCATCAATCAAGTTCGTAATCAGAATAAAAATTCAAAAGTTCAAATAGTGATCAATTTTTCACGCACAAATGATAAGTGCATTTTTTTCATTCTCGTTATCCTTTCTCTACTTCTTCATAACTTCATTTCATTTGCGTAATGCGAACTTCGCTGATATCCGCACTTCCAAGCTTAAACATCAAAAAATCAATATATCGATTGTTATAGATGCATGCTCTCTTGTGGTTACTTGCATTATTTACGACTGTCATGTGTCAGCCATTGTTCGACATAGAGAAACAGCTGTATGGACTGCAAGAACCACAACAGCTCCAAATGTATGATGATGTGAGTTTTGTCTTTTGAAGAGATGTTGGAAAAAATCGTAATATTTGAAACATAGATTTTTCAAAGCCTGCGTAAGCCAATTTCAAAAGCTTCGAATCAGATCCTTTGATTACCCAAAAGGACTTATAATTTTCAAACTTGCAACAATTGCACTCCTTTTTTGTAAGGATGCTTTCACCCGTTTCTATGAAGACAAGGACTCTGCGACCCACATTCTCTTGTTTTATGTATTTCAACGAATAAATATAGCCATGACTAGCTATTAAGCAACTTTTATTGACTCTTTCCTTCACTGGTCATTTATTAGGCTCTCTGTCCCAAAAGTAAACTCCATTTTCAAATAAATTGAGCTGTTTTTCTTTTTCTAACAGGCTTGTAGTACCATTCGATAGAGCGGAGCGAGATCTAATCATCAAAAATTCACCTAAGTCATAATTTAGGTAAAATTTGGAGCGAAAAATCAAAATTATTCATTTAACCAAAAAACCGAATCTCCTTCCAGAAAAATTCTATGGACTTCCAACTTGGTCTTTTTATATGCCAGACACATAGTAGTACCCAAAAATGTATTTGGTGGATTTTTCCGGGGCTCAAAATTGAGAAACGACGATGGTCCAAAATGCCAAAATGCCCCTTCTTAGGTTCTTTTTAAATGTAAAACTTGGTATTTCTCGATTGTAAGAGCACCCGCAGGGGTGAAGTTCTAAATTTATACTTAGTAAGGCTTGCAGTCTACAATGACATATGTGGGAGAGGCTGGGGTGGAGTGTGCCATTTTTGGGCTACCTTATTTTTCATGCTTTCTATGCGCGGAGACCTGTAGGATTCTTTCTCGTAGATATCCAATTTTCGGGTACAAAATTTTTTTTGATTTTGGCTTTAAACTTTACGTGGAATGCCATTTAGGCGGATCCTTGATAGTCATTTTGTAGAGCTTGATCTTGTCTATCGAATACCCTAAGTCTATCAGGAAAACAAAAACAGCTCGAACTATTTGAAAAAAGAGCTTACTTTTGAGACGACTTAATAATTATCATTCTATTTATCGAGGCTGCTTTTGTTCGCATTAATTATTAATTATCATTAATTATGTGTTTTATAAATTACATAAAGTACTGGACATTATCATATATTCACCCACATACGTAGGACAAGCTGATATGATGATTTTAGGCATTCTGATTACATTTCTCGTAAACAATCGGAAACAATGTTTGCTTGAAACGCTGTTTATTTTTGATATTTTGTAGAAGGGCATTCGAAAAACTTTTCAATTATTTTTAGTAGCTTGTCTTCACTGATGATGGGGAAGTGATGAGACAGTGCCTAAGTAATAGAAAAATAGAATTAACCTTGTAGTGAACTTCTAGTGTATGAACATCCCTTTGAAGTACAGGAAACAATTACTGACTTTTATGTCAGCGATAATTTTTGATTCAAGTAAATCACTGAAATCTGAGATTTCCATATTTGGAAAGTAATACCCCTAAGTGCATCATTTTCTGATTAGACGAATCTGACGTATCATCAGCGGCATTGAATCTTCAATTATTTTTCTTAAAGGTCAATGGACTGACTGCAGTGAAACGGGGACGTTTGCTAAATCTGATTGGTTTGAATTCCCGATTCACCGATCCCTTCAGACAGCGAATGATCAAAAAGAAGATTCGCTCAGTGAGGATGGATAACGGTAAGTGTACATACTCAGACAACTGACCGAAACTTCCGCAGAACGTTTCGGGAAGTTCCGCCGGGCCACTTGCAGAAGTTCTGTAAACGTTCTGGGGAAGTTCCCAAGTAAGCTGCTGCCGAATTTCCGAGGAATGCGAACCACAACAGCAAAAGGGAACACCTAAGCGAGATCTTGCTCTAATGACTGCGAGACTCATCTATTATTCTCTGCACTATGTATGGCATGTTCGACAATGCACTCTAGTTGTTGGCGAGGCAACATCGTAAGAGACAACACATACTCAATAACCTGCGGAAGCACTGGCAGGTCAAAGTGCTGCGGAAGCGCTGATGCTTTTCGGATTTACCGCAACGTTCCTGTTTTCGACCGATTTGGTGTGAAAATCCTGCCAAGTATATTTGACGATTTCACGTTTGTGATGGTAAGCAAAATTCTGCGAAACCGCTGCAAATTTTGCTTGTCCTGCAGAAGTTCCGGCAAAATGTCTGAGTAGTCTTATGGTTGTAGTCAGTCCATCTCTGAAAATAAAAATTCACAAAATTAGACGAGAGAGCAAAGATCGCATATTCCATCCTAAATCTTCCATCTCATCCTGTGGCCGTATTCATCAACGAACCTTGAGGTTAAATCCCTTGAGAGCACGCCTCAAGGTAGATTTTAACCTCAAGGTAACTTTGCTATTCACTAATCTACCTTGAGGTTAAAATCTACCTGGTAGTCAGCAGAGTACTCACTGACGTTTATTCGGAAATGCCATGACGTATCAGCGGTGCTTGAAATCTTCCACTGTTAGTGATTTTCCGACTGCCAAGTTGATAGTGCCGTATATCTTGTAGATGCACGTTACCATGTTTTTTTTTCAGGAAAGTCTTCTGAGGAACTAAGCAATCATGTTTCAACATGATTGGACGTGGCAATTGATATAGGGTTGTTTCAAATGTTAGTACATACTTTTTAATCGTTAATAGCTCTTCTCACACAAAATCTTTCGGTCAGATTCAACAGCCATCCAGTAAAGCAGGCCTGAACTTAGATTGCTGGTATGGAGCGAAGCACCTATAGCTCTTCATTGCTGTAGTAGTACAATAGAAAGTTAAAGAGGGTTTCAAACAAAGTCAAACCCTCCTTAACCTCCTATCAAATTTATATAAACTTATATATAAACCGATAGTTGAAATCAATGTATAAATTTTGGCCTAAAATGGATACTCAGCAAGCTGAAAACTTTATCACAAGACGAAACAGAGTCGCTGATCATGTGTGAAGTTTCCAATTTACCAAGGCTTTTTTCATAACTTGTGCCAAGTAAACCAATTGCCTTTTTTCAGTGCTTCAAAATCTAAACCAACTGGAACGCATAAAAACTCTCAGCAAGGTTATCTAATTGTGTTAGCATTTCTGAAACACTGCTACACAACTTTCCAGCTTTTTGGAAGCTTTTTTTGCTGGCCTATTTCAAAATGGCGCTGTATATTTTTCTACCGATACCGCAATTAAGAGCCATAGGTGTTTTCCATACTATAAACCTAAGTTGAAGCCTGCACTACTGCATGGTACTTGCAGCTAAGCAAAAGGCTTCCTGAGAAGAGAGTTACTAACGATTAAAGAGTGAGTACTTATTTTTGGGACACCGTGTACATTAGGAAGAAGAACACGCTTCATAGCCATCAGAGCATAAGTAGAGTTAGAATTGAGCTGTACCTTATAAAACGCGAATACCGCAAAGATTCACATAAGTTTCCAAAATTTTTACATAACTCTGTTTCACTCTTATAGTTTAGTATGTAAAACTTTGGTTCCAAAACTCCTCCTCGCCTCTTTGTTAGGATCCGGAACAGTGCGACGCCGGTTTTTTTTAAGGAGGGACAATTGAACAACCTACGCAACTGGCGAGATCAAGTGGGAAATCATAAAAATCGATAGTGGCAAAGGCGAAGTCGTTTCAAGGGTGTATATTTGCCACCGTCGTGCTGGGCTCTGATACCATGTTAAAGGGCTTAGAACGCTGATGCACTGCTTTCCTTAGCTGCAAAATTTTTGGACAAAGCATGAGCGTTTTTTGGAGCGGAAATTGGATGTGCAAATAGGACAAAAATGGTCGCAATATATTTTTTAGCGCTTCAATGGAGCAATGATAATCATTACAGTACTTTATTTAATAGATACTCCAATAATCAAATAGTTGGAAACTAAGTTCTGCAACTCATTTAATGCTGTCCTCTCCCTCGACATAGGCACTTGGATTTTGCGATTGTGTAGGCTGTGATGTAAGCTACAAGCGCAGCTGCTGTTCTGCCATATTCTAGCTTCACAATAAGGGTTAAGCTAGGTATATGGTATAAAATGAAAAAATATAAAATATGACAGATTTAGCTGAAACTTGGTATAGGTGTTATCCTACATGCTGATTAAAAATGAGTTAGTTGGCTAGTTGGCTTTCCCGGTCCAGCCCGGGCCATGGTTCACCGCACTACGAGCCCCCCCCCCCCTCCCCGCCCTATATGGTATGGATGACTTACCCTGGGACATCCGCTTGGAAACCGCATCCTCGTGATCCTGAGGTGAAAATGAGCCCTCCTTTACATGAGTATGGAAAATGCTTGATTGAACATGATAATCCCTTTAATTCCTTAGGAAAATGTAAACAAACCAATAAATCGATAGAAGAACCCAACGAATCGCCGCAAAAAGTAGCCCATCATTTGCGCAAGGGTCGAAAACATATGTTTGCAAAGTTTCAGCTAAATCGGTTGAGTGGCGCGCGTTTCTATAACGCACATACCCTCCAAACTGACAATTTTTGAGTTTTATATATATATAGATGACAGATCTAGCTGAGACTTGGTACAGGTGTTATCCGACATGCTGATCACAAAAATGATAATGACTTTGCGTGATAAAGGCTTTTTTGTAAGGTTACTGTAAATATAGGGTTCCACCGTGAACAAGGAAAGAGGCGTTAAATAACCAACGAATATGATATTCGTATCTGATAGGTCAAGTAGCCTTACTATGTCAAGTCTCGACAAAAATTGAGCTTCTGACTCTTTAGTCATTGACGGCCGTCCCCAGCAGCCCTTGCGTACTGCGACTTGGTCGACTTTGTGAGGGCGCCAAATCTCGACGCCCCTAAATTTTGTTTATTTCTTGCTAAGCCAATGAGTCAACTTCTAGCCACATTTCGTACACGATTATCACTGCGCATGGTCTAGGCTGGTAACGGCTTCATTTTAGCTTGAAACTCCAGAAATTCTCAAAATTCACTAGTTTTCGAAAAATGCCTGAAACTTTCCTATTTCATGTCAAAATTTGAGCAATCTGCGCGCAATTGTGTCACATATTTCTCTTTACATATTGCCAAAGTTTGAATGCGCCATAACTAAAGAGATTGAATTTATGAAACTAGATGCAAAACTTAGTGTCCAGCCTGATAAATCTTACAGTTATTGCTTTATTTGAGGAATAGTGATATTTAGCAACTCCATCCTAAATTATATGTAAATTCTTGCTGCAATAAACGCTCACAACTCCTCGTCAAAGAACGTCCCACATAAAAAAATAGATTTGGAATGTTTTCTGCTTCAAGACTTATACATCCCATCTAAAAAAGTAACTTCGACAAAAAATGTTTTTCGTGTAAGTAAGCAAGTGAAATTTGAGCTAGTATTGATAGAATATATTCGTCATATATTCGTCCTTGAAAACGGTTTCAGGAATAAGGTCCTCAGAAATTAGAATGAAGGAAGCCTTATAAAGAGTTCAACTCTTTTGTGCATATTCAAGGTAGATTTTAACCCTAGCTATCCTAGGATTAGATTCTACCTTGGACGCATAATGGAAAGTTGGTGGAGAAATGATGATTGAGGTAAAATTCAACCTCAAGGTAGAATGATGAATACGGGTTTATGCGTTTAAAGGTTCATTTCTACCTCAAGGTAGACTTAACCCATGAGAGAATTTCATTGCGATCATGTTGTGAATACGGGTTATAAGCCAAAACGCTATCTGAGGTAGATTTTAACCCTGAGGGTTCGTTGATGAATACAGCCACTGTTGTTTTCATGACCCTAAATATTTTCAGAGCACATCTTCGACTACTAAATGAGAAGCTCTTTGGTCAACTAAGCTCATCAATCAGCTCGGTTGAATCTCAATAGCGAAGGATCTTTTTCTGAACATTGTAAATACGGATCTTACATCATCAGTTTTATGAATGAATGCTTTGTTATTTCTTTTAGTTATTACTTTTTGATGTTTGGGCATATTTCTTGCTGAGCTTGATTAACTTTCCCTCTTAATCATCTTAATATCTCTTTGAAATTAATTATAGTGTTATAAAAAGTAGTATTGGGGCATAAAACACAACATAAAATAATGCTCCCCAATCCGAATCTGAATCCAAAGCTATTGAGGCCAATAACGCTCACATAATGACATCAATCTGAACCAACAGTTCTCTTATTTTGATTGTTCAGCTGAAAAAAAAAGCACATGCATCGACACAAATGCGCATAAACTTCTCTTGAAAAATCGCATCACCCTGAAAAAGTTAAGGACTTTCTAATGGCCCCATTTTACGACTGAACACTTCAAAAAATGGTCATAAAACTTTGCGCCTAATCATAAATATCTCATTTCAAAGCTAAGATGGATATAAATTTGAAAGTTGAGTCAGCAGGGGAGAATGGGCGGAGAAAAAGGTTATGATTTATTATATCATGTATATACATTATTCTTGTTGTTTTGTGATATATTTTTCCTGGATTTCAGCTGCGTAGTCCAAAAGCTGTGGCGTAAAACAAAGATTTCGTTTCCAGCCAATTACACAACATGTCTGTTGCAGAAGCTCGTCGAGTTAGATGATTCATCTTTACAGAGAAACGGCATCGGATATCCCTTTCATTTCCAGTTTGAGATGGTTGAGTTGGCAATTTGTCAACAGTGTTTATTCGATGACAGATATACTGTTATGCATGATTTGAGCTCAACAATGGCATTATGTCATTCTTATAAAAGGGCTAATAAGTAAAGAGCAGCCTCCAAGACTTGGCAACATCTTATTAGAAAGATGGAAAATGTGCTCAATTTTTTTGTTATATTGCGTGATAACAAAGTACTCTGAGGTTTCCTGTTCTTTCTTTGTCATTCCAAAAGCAGTAAAATACATTGAAGCAAATGACGAATGGAGGAACCTCAAGATATCAAAGGCAGTGCCCCGGCAGATTCGCGCACTAAGGGATATTGCTATGGTGGGGTTTCTGGTCATCCCATTGACCCCCAGGCGCAGTCCGGGTGATTGATGCTCCCCCTGGGCCGAGGAAATAGCCCTTGAACCGGCGCGCGCTCGGACGACTTAGCTTACCGTTCGGCGCGGGACCCCATGACCACTCTCCCGCATTGTGCATACTATCCAAAGCAAAAATTACAGGCAGCAGGGTTTTCGTGTCAGGGCCTCCCAACTTTCCATTGAAATTCTCATTCGAGCATGCCTTTGTAAATTGGGTGGACGACCCGAAAAAGGTCTTTTCACTCGCTTCAAAGCTCAAATTCGGGGTATACGGGTCGAAGGGACCCAAGACATTGCCGGACACTGCCTTTAAGGTTGTCGAATAATGGGCCACTTAAAAACATTGCAGCTCTCTCTAGGATAAGGCTTGATTAAAATATCTGATTTTGAAAGATGTAAGAACATGATGTATTCGTTAAGCAAAGCCTTCAAAGGTCACTGACATATCTATTATATCAGGTTGTCCGAAAGTCCCCGCCGTTTTTCAGACCCATGCTCACCGCTCAGAATAATTGATGCAGTAGTTCTTTCTCTTCCTAACAGCGTCTTTGTTCAGATTCCTTTGATTCCGCCCAAATAATCGTCAGAATCTTCAACCCATGATTTTTAATCGTCCTGGGTTTGGCTATTTTCTTTTTAAATTTCCATTTCAACTTTTGGATTAGCTTTGATAATTTAGATAGAAATAAAATGCAAAACATATTCTTTGACATATTCAACTACCTTTCAGTAATTCTTAAAATAATTTTTCTGAAGGTCTTCGACTTTTGCAAAGTCATATACGCAACGCTTCGACACTGATGCTTTCGGAATGTGAAGCCTAGCAGCTTATTACTTAATGCTGATTTTAGAATTCTCTGGGTACAGCCTAGGACGAGCCTATCGACAAGAATTATAATAATTATATCCCAAGTATTATACAACTCAAGGGGGAAAAAAAGGTCTGTCAAAAGAGGAACCCTGGTTGCTCGCAGTTAGTTGCTCTGTAAGGATTGGGATGCCAATATATGAAAACTGATAGCTTTGTGAAGATATTTTCAAAAATTTTAGGATGCCAGGTATAAATGCCAAAAAATGTATTGTATTGCACCTTGTTTATTCTATCCACATGTTATCAAAGCAAGTCCAAAAGTTTAAGATGTAAGTTTTGAAATCCATGGTCTGGAGATTCTGACGAGTTTTCGAGCGGAATCAAAGGAATTTGAACAAAAAAGCTGTTAGAAAGAGAAAGAGATCCTGCATCAAACATTATTTCACTTGTCCATCATTTTTTCAGGTGGCTTGAGCATGGCTCTGAAGCGGCACAATTTAATAATTTAATGAAATGCAAGTTGGCTTCCCAACGTCTGAAACTTTGCTAATCTCAGGAGTGTATTGCACGTTTTTAGTGCAGGTTTCGTCAAAGTATTGCACCCCAACATCGTATGAACAAAAAGATCGAGTGAGCATCTGAAAGCAGAAGCACGCTTCGGTCGTAGGTCTCTTCATAGAACTAAAATTAGTAGCCTACTGAGATGAGTCAAAATGTGAATGGATTTTGGCTTTGGATTAAATCTCATGGAGTTTTGACAGTTTGGAGAACTCTATAAAGCGAACGAGGAGTTTTGGCACTAATCGTAAGATTTTTTTGTAGTTGAAGAAGATTGTGCACGCTTCCAGAAAAAACCTTGCAAAGAGAGAGAGGTAGTTTTAAATGCAAGGATTTTTAGATTTGAAAGTTGTATCGTTGACTCAATATCTTCAAAAGTGTTAGTTGAGACCTCTTGCTGAGTTGATTTATTAATTCAAAATATAAGAGAAGTCGAAGAAATTGGGGGGGGGGAGGCATAAGGCAAGGAGAGACCTTGAATGTGGGGAGAAGGGCTCTGGGAGGAAATTGATAGGGAGCGCACAGGACTATGAGAATCTGTTGAGTGTGAAACGGCCGTTTCGATCAAAAAAACTTTTTGAATGTATTAGATTGGCACATAAGTTTTGCAACTTTTCCCATGACTTTTTTCTTACTAGATGTAGCAATCTCATTCTTTGGCTTCGTGTAGAGTGTGACGTGAACTGCGAGCCTGCGCAAACTGTTTCATTTATAATAGCGTAGTAGAAGAAATCCAAGCATTTTATCGAAGCCCTTGAAAATCGAGGTTTCACGTTTTTTGGCAAGCATGAAGCCGTACAAAACCGGAATCAAACATATCGGAAAGGAAATATAGGCAGCATATAGCTAGAAGTTGACTCATTATGTAAGTTAATTCATTAGAAACAGTAAAAAAAGTGAAATTCAAAGACAACCAGACATGAGGCGCCTTTGAGAAGTAAAACGATCAAACGCGCCAAGTTTTGAGGGCAATCGTCAATAACTAAGCTGTGGAAACTCGGAATTTGCTAAATTTTTGCGCAATAGGGTAATCCACTACGGTGAACACGAATATCATAATTATTCGTCGCTAAGATAACAAAATTTTTTTGACCTTACAAAAGAGGCCTTTTGCGAAACGGGTCTCATTTTTGTGATCAGCATGTCGAATAACCCCCATAGGCCAAGTTTCAGCAAAATCTGACCCAATTTATAAATTATACCATTGTACCGTAAACATACCGCACCCTTACATAAGATGCCAAAATTCGGCAAAGATTTCCGCATTTGCAGTTTGCAGATCATTATTCTTGTAGTGCCAGAAAATGAATGCGCTACGTTTGAAAAGACAAAAGTTATGTAAAAAGTTGCATTACTTATGTGCCAACCCAATAGGAGTTCGGAAGCATCCGACGATCGTCGCAAATGTCGCAGGAATGAACGTTGGCAGGCACAGTTGTCTTAATTCCAATCAGGCTGAAACCTTGGGTTTTTTAGATCACTAAATTTCATAGAATCTTTTGTGTGCAAAAAAGATTTGGTGGTAAAAAGGGGAAGGAAGGCAATTTAGCTTAAAAAAGGGCAAAACAAGTTTGCAAAACGCAATAATATACAAAATTGTGCACCCTCAGTAGATAAAAGGAAACTGCGGTACGGACAGAAGATGCTAGGGAGAAAATTCTGTTGAGACTTTTGTTAAAAAGACTCTGGAAATCTTCTGCAGTGACGATTTGTGACCCTTCACTTTGATAGTCTTAGTGTCTAAAAACTGTTTTCTATATTTTGAGGAGGAAAAGGGTCACCACGAAGCTTTACAAGTTCTAAATTTTGGTCACAACCCACTTCAACACACCACCAGTTCAATCGGGCGTGCTCCACAAAAGCGATACGTCATGACTTCGTTAAATGTTAATTCAATCAATTATAGCCGACTAGTCGCTACAGAACCCTTCAAAAATGCAAAAAAAAACCAACATTTTGACGTTACGTATAAGACGCGTGCATTTATGTGCAGCTACGGTGAGATGATAGGACAGATGACGCCTACTATACAGCTTACTTTAACTTTACTTTTCCCTTTCTTTCTGGAAGCATGAAGCACTGATTTTCAAGGCTTTTACTGCAAGAAACTTCACAAGTCCAATTTTCTCAAACCTTTACTTGGATGATCACCTATCTGTATCACCTACATACCCTTGATCGTCGTGCTGCACAGGCTCGCAGGCGATTGCTGAGAACGTTTACTACGGTACAAGAGAAGTGGAACACTCTGAAGGACTTTATTAGAGGCCTTAGTGGACATATCTGATCATCACTTTGGCGATTTCCTCGTTCGCGTTTGACGTCCAGTGTTTTCTAGCCGATTACAGCTCGTCCCGATTGTCGTCAAGCCACTTTACGCCCAATCTTGTTCAATAAGGTGTAGCGGCAGCATCCCTAACTTCGGTTGTTACGTAGAGTAAAATTACCTATTTCTTCCCTCACCTGCTGAGTCACTTCATTCCTAACACCACTTGCTCAACAGCACGTTCGATGACGCTAACCGCATGTCCTTCCTGCCTCTTAACCCATTGACGACGATATGATTTCGCAAGGGGTGTGGATCACCGGTGGCCCACACCCCTTGCAAAATCATATCCTTTTCAGGTCTGGTATTTTTCCACAGTTCAGTATTCTTCTCCAATTTTTTGCTCTCTTGGAACATGTAGACTTCGTCGTCCAAGAAGATGATTATAGTTGTTTACAAAACAACACATTTCCTGGATAATCACAAAACTTCCCCATGCCAAAAGTGCAAAATCGCGTCGTCCCCCAGCGCCGCCACGAATTAGGTCGTCGTCAATGGATTAAATGTCAATGTTGAGCGTATGTCAAAGCACTACCAACCGTCAAATTGAAAAGTTCGGCGCTGTGCCAGATGTTCTTAGTCTTCCTCATACATCCTTAAATTAGCTTCTGCGCTCTCTATGCTGCGCTTTCCTCTAACTCAATTCCGGAGTTAAATCGTTTATCATATTATCTCCCCACCTAGCTAAGGGCAGATTGACATTTGATGACGTTATTCCAATGAGCATCAAAAAATCTTAGATGGTCTTCCGTTCAACATAGACATCGTTTTCAGCTGTAGACCGCTTTCCACATACTTCGTCAAAGTAGGCCGATATTCGCTTGCCTGAGGATCTTAGACATTTTGAAAAACGTTATTAGTCCTACTAGCAAAAATACTTCACACCATTTTCATTGTGCGCTTCCATGCTGAATTTTGATTCGCCACCATTACTACCTTCACAAGTCCACACCTTCAAGAGCTTACAACTTTACTTAAATAATCGTTCAGTAGCTGTGAAAGGCAGCTGTATTCAGCTCACTGAAACTCATATAGAAACATGAATCTTCTTCAAAGGCACGGCTTGGAATCCTACCCTAATGGTCTTGACGCACAACTCAAAACATGAACATCATTTGCTTCTTATGATGAAAAGTCTGCCCAACTACTGCAACAAGGAATTCAAAGATCGCAGTCATCATCAGATTTTGTCATATAGTGTGATTTTTATAACTCAAAATCAACAAGTACCATGAACATGTCAGAAGATGCACAATAGAAACAAGAAACTATCAACATCGATTAAATTGTGAGACCAGTCCTTACCGTAACAAAAAAACATATGAAATACCCGCTATACCGATTCACAAAGGAAAGAAATCAAAATCATTTTTGGTTGTTCCTCATCACTGTCCTCTTCGTGACCCTCGTTATCTAACCCTTCATCCGACAATGCGCCAGTAAATTGAGTCAGTGCATCATATAGCGGTAATATTCTGGACGGAACGATATCGCAATCCAGATTTTCTTTGATGATCTCCAATCTCAATTCAACCAGCATCTCCTCCAAATCTGCAAAATCATTTAAGCCTGGACCAGGCAGCGTTGACCGTTGGCGTGTGCGGATCTAAAAATCAATTCTACACTAGAAATTAGTGCAAAAAATACTGCAACCTCAGATTTCTGTGAAAAAGCCAAAGACACTTCATGTGCAGGGCATTCCTCATCGACATAAGGTACATGAAGGGTGATCCTTATGTCATTAGCAGATGGAGGATTTGCTTGAACAAGCCATGTCTCGTCGTACTCATCCACTGTAGAGCGAAATCGCTTGGCAGGAGGAGAGCAGCTATAATTTCTATTATACATTGCGAAAATTAAAACACTCGAAGTTATTAGCAATCCCTAATTAAAAGATTAGGAAACAGTACCTAGCTTTAGTTGCAACTATGGTCTTCCATACAACGCTGTCATCTATCATGCTCTTAACGATTGCTGTGACAGTTTCAGGTCCGATCTCATCATTGTTGATCCACGATAATACGGTCTGAATATCTTGTTGAAAAGAGAAGAAAAAGCCTCAAAAGCATTTCCAGAAAAGCTAAATATTGCAGCAGTCTTCAAAGTCGATAACTCCACCTGACTGAACCGCGCTGAAGCATTGGTTTGGCAAAATGGCGCTGTTTTTGAGAAAATTAACATTTCAGCCTCAAAAACCCATAAGCATTATTCTGCCAAGGTGAAAAGCAATACCCTCAGTTCCCGACCGAAAAGAAGTTGTTACTGATAGTCACAGGCTGGAGGAAAAAATAACAAGTTGCGACTGGCCCATCGAGGAGGACCCAATGTACTATTGCGACCGCCTACTAGAGAATTGCGAATCTGCGGAGAGAGAGAACGCCTCAGTGAATTCTGCAAAGAAAAATGGAATGCATATCAAAGATCAACAAGGAACTGCTCGAAAAAAAGATCTTTGAGGTAGGGTCAGTTGCAAGCAATCGCGAGCGACTTTAGCCAGTGTCAGGTGCAGAACAGCTTTGCAGAAAGTTCTTCAGAAGTATAGACAAGCCAAGGTACTAGAAACAGCCCAAAGAAGAAGTTTTAGAAAAGAGCTGGAGGAACCTCTTTGCCATATACCCCTCGCAGCGCTATCAAACAGACGGGATCCGAACTTTGTTCCCGACATAAGATGGAATCCATCGTGAAGTTCTACGCCTACCTCTTCCGGTCATGGAAAATCCCGCAGTCCGTTCTCCCCATTGGGAAACCATCACGAATTGTAGCTGAAGTGCGCACCGCGACACGGACTGAAGAAATCAAGATTTCCGTGGCTCCAGGACCACATCATGTTTCCGTTAAACTTCTGGAAGTTAAGAGACAACAATTTTCTCCAGTTGCACCTAATATCTTACTTTCTGCCTGCTGAATGTGCTGTACAAGCTTTTTACAATTATCCGTGCTCGCATATTCCAGACACTAGACGATCAGCCTCGAGAACAGGCTGAATTTCGCAAATAACTCAGCCGGCCATATCCAGACGATTTACATGGTCATAGAATTCTGGCGGGAGTACAGAACGTTTCAACCTTGAAGTTAGGCAAATAGTTAGTGCTCCATGTAACATTGTCGTGCTGAAGGTCACGGGGGTTCAATGTTTCCCTAAGCCTAATTGCTGCGACAAAAATTCTGCTCACAATTTCAGCGCCAGGCTCCCTTCCAATAAAAGGCATGCGACAAGCTGGCTAAGAAACACCCCTCGCATCAACAATACGGACATGTCTCAAAAAGTTACTCGAGTAAAAGCTAGGGCCTCCCCCGGAAGCGACGCGCGTTCGAGCCGACGAGTGCGAGTAGTGGGCGAGGACTACCGTCTCAGCAAAGTGAACGGGGAAGCTTAAAATAGCTAGTTCACCAAAGGCAAGATTCAAGGCATCGCAGATTCTCCGTATAGCTACTATCAACATAGGTACACTCAATTCTCGTTCTCAAGAGCTGGCAGATCTTCGAAAAGACGGCGAGTCGATATAGTTTGCATACAGGAAACGAAGTGGAGCGGGGCAAAAAAGTCACGCAAATTGGAGACGAAAATAAGCTTTTCTTCAATGGTGTCACCTGCACCAGAAACGAGGTTGGTATAGACGTCTCGGAGATTCTAAGGAGCAATATTGTTGACGTTGAGAGCATAAGCGATGGTATGATGAGCATAAAGGTAGATACTGGGAAACAGATCCTACGTGATCACCGCCTATGCCCCACAAGTCGTGTAAGGATAATAAAAAAACGCGATCTGCCAGGAGCTTGATGACCACATTAGCACAATTCCAAACCACGATCGATCGATACAACGATCCCGATCCCGATATAGAAGAACAAAGGAGACATAGCAGACTGCGCATCCTACTCAGACAATCACAGGCTCTCAGCGGGCCCCACCAAAAGCGTCGCTGCCTTATCGCAGCCACTGTCGCTTCCCGCTGAGAGCTTTGTCGGAGCCTTGTCGGAGCTTGTCGGAGCGGGCTCGCTGCCCGCTGAGCCCGCTCCGACAAGCTCCGACAAAACTCCGACAAAGCTCTCAGCGGGAAGCGACAGTGAGGCGATGAGGCCACCGCGCTTTTGGTGGGTCTAGGCGGTGGCTTTGTGGCTGCCGGCTGAGAGCATTTGATTGTCTGAGTACCGGCCAATCCGACTGATGAGCCATACTCTAAAAATCTCCGAGCGAATAATCGAAAAACGACTTCAAGATATCACAATTGTCACCGAATCAGTGCGGACTCTTGAAAGAAGTAGTTACAACGAACGCCATACACTCGCTCGGCTAGTGATGGAGGAATATAGAGAAAAGCAGAAGGAATTGCATACAGCCTTTGTGGGCCTGGAGAAAGCCTTCGATGAGGTGCTCCATGAAATCATATGGTGGGACTTACGGAAAACAGGATACCAGAGGAGTACGTTCAGTGAATTAAGTTGATCTATCACAATGCGCTTCAAGCCAAGTGCAGATAGCTGCAGGGCAATCGGAAGAATATCAAATCAGGGTTGGAATACGCCAAGGTTCAGTTCTCTCTCCCTTGCTCTTCATCACTGTGATGAACGCCGTGATGGAACCGCTCAGACGTGTGCCTCGTTGGACACTTCTCTACGCAGATGATGTGGTCTTGACAAGTACCAGGGAGGAGCTAAAGATGAGGTACAGAATTGGAAAAATAGGCTAGAGTTGTACGGCCTGAAGCTCAACACCAGGAAGACAGAATACTTGAAAATTCCTGGTACAATAAGCATCGATGGTGAAGAACTAAAGATGACAAAGTCATACAAGCACCTAGGCAGTCACATCTCAGCGGAGGAAGGCTTGCCAGAGAAGGACGCAGGGAGGATGGATACAGCATGGGCAAAAAGACCATTGAAGGCAGGGTCCGGGCAAAAACTCGTTTTTTGTAAATCCACCCTCTGGGGGTTATCCGTAGCGCTAAATCCGAAAATCCATACGAAAAGTCTCGAAAACGGCGAGCATATGCGCTTTCCAAAACCTTACAATTCGAAGTTCGACTGTCCCCGCCAAAACTGAGACGCAGAGTTGCTGCGAGACTCTACGATTTTAGCTGTTGCGGCATGCGTACTCTGCCGCATAGCAGGAATTCAAAGAGGTCGGAGGACCCCGCCCCAAAACGTGAGTTTCCCCACTTCCCGATCGTTTTTCTTGCGCTAGGTCCAACGTTATGACCTCGTACTTGCGCGATGGTGTGTCTGAGTGGGGCCACTTTCGAATGGCACTGAAACCCCAAAACCCCCACCTTGTCAGGGCACTTGTGAACAAGAGTTCTATGTGACAAAAAAATTGCAATGCAACTCAAACAGGTCGGAGGACCCCGCCCCAAGGCGTAAGTTTCTCAACTATACCTTACCGCTATCCGTCCAGCAGCACTGTATGACAGTGAATTCTGGCCATGTACGCGAAACGAGAAGCGCCTTAGTGTCCTGAAAATAGGAATGCTACGATAGGCTTTAGGAGTAACACTGCAAGGTCATATCTGCAATGACACTATACGAGCTCGGAAAGTAGCTGCGACTGCCCAGAAAATGCAGGAACGAAGGATGCGATGGTAAGGGCATGTGCGCGAGAGGAGAGTCACATCACGAGGTTAGCCTTAACGGTGAAATCACCAGGTAAAAGATCTATGGGTAGACTAAAGAGAAGATGGATGGACAGAATCGAGGCCGACATGCAACTTGAATTAGATGAAGTCCTTGCCTCAGATGAAAGAACATGGGGACAACTAACAAGAAAAGCAGACCTTGCGTAAGCGGGACACACGCGAAGATGAAGGAAAGACATTCAGACGGTTTGGAAGGTCACAGAATTCTGGAGGGAGTAAAGGCCATTTTCAACTTAACCTTGCCGACTACGAGTAAACCTTTGACAGCGTCGCAACCAATGTCGCCCTGCCAGCGCTAGTCGATGAAAGAGTGAACCTAGCTTACAGACATTAGCCGACTGCTACAAGGACGTACAATGAAGATGCAGCTATTCCATCGCCCCTGACCATCCCAACTGGCAAGGGACCCATGTTCAGTCGAAGTGGCCTTTTTAGATGGGATGTATACCATATTGGAAAGCATAGAACGCTGATATAAGATCAGCCTTCCTTATCTGCGGAACAATAATGGGCGAGGAGTTAATGAGCTTTTATTGAAGCAAAATCACATATGCAAATAGGGCTAAGATTATTGTAAAACATTTCCTAGCACATTAATGGAGCAGTGATGATTATTACAGCACCTTACTCAATAAATATTCTTAGATAAAAAATTATATCACATTTGGTTACTTCATTTGAGGGCTAGGGAGGTTAAAGCAATCATTTTATGCTAGATGCGCTTTTTCTTTTATTTTCTTCAATGAACTCGAAGAACTTCTCGTCCATGAACGTTCGGCACACAAATAAGGCATATTTGGAACAAGCATTCTATGTTCTCCAATATGGTATACATCCCATCTCAAAAGGTCACTTCGACTAAACAAGATTTTCTTGTGAGGAATACGACAGGACGATACGATCTCGCCGAAGTTGCACCCCGCGGTCTAGCGGTATTGATGAAGTCATTAAACTGCAACGATAGAGGCACAGAAACTAAAGAAAGATTTTATGAGCTTTCATTTCTCGGACGTTCCCTTTTCGAGCGATTGAAGCAAAGTCGATGCTTAAAGGCAGTGTCCACGCAGATTTGGAGCTCCTCAGTTCCAACATTTTATTGAAGCGGACTCCTCATACAGACCATAGTCCAGTTTCGAGTGCAAAATATTGCTTGTGAAGCGAGTAAACCGCTTCAGAAGTCTGAACAGAGACGCCCCCTTGTCCGTACCGAAGCAAGTAATCGTGCCGGGACGCGTGGTTGCAGCCAATGCCAGCGTCGCAACGGCGGCGTCCCAGTCGGATTCCCTGCTTCGGTACAAATAAAGGGGCGTATCTGTTCAGACTTGTGAAGTGGTTTACTCGCTTCACAAGCAATATTTTGCACTCGAAACCGGGCTATGGTCTGCATGAGGAGCCCGCTTCAGTAAACTGTTGGAACTGAGCAGCTCCAAATCTGCGTGGACACTGCCTTTAATGAACTAAACGAAGTAGGGGAGAAGACTGGATTGCGTATGAATCGGAAGAAGACTCAGGTCATGAAGAACGCTCTTTGTAAAGATGCGGAAAAAGGGTAAGGCACTCTTATTGCGGAAATGTATTTATACGTGTATTTTGGACGTTCGCCGAACATAGAGAGCGACTGGAGCGAAGAATCGACAGGAGAAGAAGACTAGCCTGAGACGAAAGCGAAGCATCGATGAGCCGGTCACGTAATGAGAAGAACAGAGGACACTAAAAACAACAGAGTGGACTCTTGCGACGCAAAACTTTTGATGGAGACCACCAACAAAATGGGCGATGTTGTGAGATGGACTAGCTGAAAATCAGCTTTGTACGCTTCTCGCACCTGATGCTCGTAAGCGCAGCCACCAAGATAAGTAAAAAGACCGTGAATGCTTGACAGCGACAGACAGGGACGATTAAAACTCCTGTAAAGTTCACACGCCACATAAAGACGGGCAACCTAAATAAATAAGTACCTCAGGATCAAAACGAATTTGACGAAAACTAGCCATTATCACTTCGTTGGGTGAATGTGTTGAGGTCGTGCTGCAAAACTAGTTCTGTGATCCGACAGGAGAGCAAAAATGCAACATACGCTATCTCCTTTCCAATTGTTAATAGAGCTGATATGCTAGCAAGAAATCGGTCGTCACTGTTGAGTAAATCGTAGGCAAGTTGATTAGTTGACGAATATAGGCAGGACAATTCATCAAGCACAGTTCTCCTCAGTTGTAACGTGCTGGCATCTGCAATGGTGACATCAAGGCAGTGGCCCAGCAAGATGGCTTTAAACAGATTTGTTGGAAATGGGTAGTTCCCTTGGTAGTATACGCAGATCCAACCTCAATCTCAAATCCATACCCGACTCCTGAAATCGTACTTTGAAGTCCCCCTAGGGTCCCCGCTTTCGATAAGTGGGCGTCAATGGAGTTTCGAAACAAGTCCTTAAAATATGGAGCATGGTTTGAAAAGTGATTGAAGCTGCGGTATACTCGAAGGATGCACGACAACTACCAAGATCTGAAGGGTACTCTCCTGGCCACTGCCTTCAACAAAGGAGTCTCTGCGATGATTTTGACTACTTATGTGAAGCATGTTTAATCTCTGTTGAAAAAAAAAATGATTTCCTTACCTGAACTTATGTACCAAGAAAAAGCATACCTTCCACATTTTGCAATAAAGCCAAGCAGACTGCCAGAATACTGAATGTCCTTGTCTTGTCCGAGTTTCTGCCAGGATGAGACGTTATCCCTCCAAACCATCGATCATTATCTGTAGCACAAAAAAATCTATCTGAAAATAACAAGGTGCAAAAGCACGCATTTTGAAGAATTAATCTTCTGCGAATTCTTTCAAAATTCCTTGCTGAGATTTGCTGTGATAAAATTGGTATAAATCACTAACATTCACAAAAAGATTTCATATCAGCCACAGGGTTTTACAAAATCTTTGAGTCTCGTGTACCTCCAGTAAAAAACTGAGGGAAGCAAAATAGACAAACCAATAAGGTATGGATTCTATAATGCGGAAAATAAAGCTGAGGTCAGATGCGCAATGAAAGCATCTTCTGAGACAATGATGCATTGGGCGCTTGTTTAGGCATTCCTATCAATTTAAAAAAACGTTTTGTCATGCATTTTGAAGACCTTGAAAATTCAATCTATGAGATAAATGGAAGGAAACTGAAAAACTGTTCCACTGCCAAAGATTTGGGCGTTTTGATGGATTCCGATTTGAATTTTGCTGCTCATAGTGATACAGTAGTGAATAAAGCTTGTTCGGTTCTCTTTGCGATTTTTCGTAGCGTACATACCGACAACCCGATGATCCTCAAACGTCTCTACCGAGCTTACGTGTTGCCTCATTTGGAATATTGTTCTGTGATATGGAATCCTCTTTTGAAGAGAAATATTTTGAAGCTGGAAAAAGTCCAATAAACTTTTACTCGTATTTTGTATATGAGGTGTCGTAGAAAACAATTTCATCGATACGCCAAGCTATGAAAATCGCCTCAAGTTTTTGGCAATGGAAAGTTTAGAATATAGACAAATATTTTTTGATCTCGTTTTTGGTTTTCGGCTTCTAGATAAGGAACTAAGACTTGCCCCCAAGTGAATACTGAATTTTTAGATCTACAAACAGATATGGTGGGTTTACCATTCATTATTTACTTATTTACACGAAGCGTTTCCGTTGGGTTTCTAATACTTTGTTTTACAGAATCCCCGATGGCTTAGACTATTACCAGAAACTGCAATGCAAACCTCATCTACAAAGGTATTTAAGCGTAGAATCAATGCAATTGACTTATCCTTCCTATTGAGACATTCTGAGAATAAATAGGATTTTTCTTTCGCTGCAAGTGCTGATTTCCATAGCCTTTTGAGCTTTGTATCTTTTTAAACGTTATGATTGTGCACTGACCCATATCCTAGTTCGTCTCCGGCAGTCGCTTTTGCTTAAAAGCACTTTGGATCGTACACAATTTTCTTCCAAGCTATCCCATTTTATTTACTTTTGTTTCTCATGGTAGCGATATATTACAAGAGGAATCTGAAAGAGGTCCTTTGTTAAGCACGCATTGATTTGGACTCGCCCATTCGCTTTGGTGCTTCCTCTTTAGATTTGCTTGAAAGTGATCCGCTTATGGCTTTCACACCATGATTTATGCTGTTGAATTAGTGGGAGCTTGCTGTTTTCTGAATTCGGATCCATTATGGCTGCTGGAGACACCGTCTATGATTGGCTGTTTTTTTTTCTGTTCCGCTTTTTTTTGCACTAACCACGTACGTCCGGAGCATTTATGAATGCACAAAATAAATAAGTAAATATATAAATAAAAGGTAATCGGTCAATAACACAAGATGAAACTACCCTAATTTCACGCGTACAAGGCGCGGGGTGGTCCTAGCTTTCATCGAGCTGCTCAGCCGCCCCAACGTGATTTAAGAAGCGATCCTTATGCCGCACGATTCATCAGGCAAAACGCAGCACGGTATGGGGTTCCTTTGGTTGCGAAGTCCTTTGCCGTGTTCGGGCTGGTCGATGAGCTAGGACCACCCCGCGCCTTGTACGCGTGAAATTAGGGTACAAGGTAGACCCATGCGTCGGATATCCTCCAATAAAATTTACACAGGCCGGCAGCCTTAACACATTGACGACCATGCAGATTTTTAGCTGTCTACCTTCTGGGACCGAGGCCTTTTCCAAATCAGCCCACGTTTTTCGACTATAATTACGCATACTGCCATCTACAGTACACCTACCGTAAATCCGAAAAGCTGATAAAAAAGGTAGAGGTCATCCCTAGATTCGGTGCAACAGAAAGCTCATGGAGTGAGTTTATCCTAGGATAGTAGCCATTTAAACAAGATTCAAGCCTTGACACACATGGTGTGTCAAGCGGTCGTCAATGTGTTAAAGAACGCAACCACCGTAGCGGACAGCTGGAATATCCCACACCATCTTAAGCGCCTGATTCGGTATTGCTTGATGAAAAATAGCGCATACCTTGTCTTCAAGACTGATCACAAAAAAAGGTCGTGGTTAGAACCGACAAACAAATTTTACTCAGACTTTTACAACTCTGCAAAATGTTAGGATAGGCAGCCACTTTTTTATGCAACATGAAAACAGCTTTTGAGTGTATCCGGCAAAAAATATGAATGATATAGTCGTCCTCACCCCACTAGTCGTTCCGTGGACGAATTCGAATTCGAACTGGAGCAGGCAGGTAGCGGCAGAGCACGGCACCTTAGCTCTCGGTTCAAATTCACGCATTCATTTTGAGTATTTCTGCGCTATTGCTTAGCAGTTTTTGTATTGTTACAACGTTTTTGACATATATTGAGTTTTGGTAATTGCTGAGCGTTGTCTCCTGCCGCGCTCTGCCATGACAGGCCTGCTCCAATTCAGATTTGAATTCGTCCACCGACCGACTAGTGGGGTGAGGGCGACTATATTCGAGTGCAAAATGCAAGCATAGTTATAATTGCGCTCCTAACTCATGGGAAAAAACGGATTGCGACAAATTTCTCCGTCCAACATACGTATCGTCACAAAACATCGGAGCGTTATAACTTTCTTTAAACCAGTTTCCAGAAGAATCTGAACACATTATTGTACTTCCGAGAACTTAGCGATTTAGAGTACATGTCAGATTTTCGAAAATTCTTTTGAATGAAACTTTCTGAACCTTCAGAATTTCCTAAATTTGATCTGAATTTGTCGAAGATAATCCAAATAAACGCTGTATGTTTTAGGAAACATGTGGATCGAACATGAAACATTATTTATTTATTTATTGCGAAAAAGTGTGCCTACGACTAGTCAAAAAGTCTAGGAAACTATTGAACCAGTAATTTAAAATGCCAGATTGCATCTGCGAGCTTCGGACAGCCACGCGGTTTCCCGCTATTTGCAGATTTTGAACAGATAGTCACATAAAATAATGAAAAAAAAGCGCAACACACTGAAAATAATGGACGTGGTCAACAGTCACTAGATCCAAAAGGAGGTGAAACTACCAAACTAACATGAAATGAAATAGAAAAACTGACTACCTTTACTGGGCTCGCTTGTATTAGTGAGTATAAATTGCCAGATGGTACTGATGCGTCCTTTGAATTTTCACCCCCTTCTCGTAGTTTCTGTTTCTGGCGACGTTGTCAGCCTTGTTATGTTCACAATCCTGAGCAAAACGTCCCCAAGTGTGTAATAAAAGACTGCTTACTAACTACAATAAAGGCCCATAAACAAAGACTCACTTTCTGCAGCTTTTTGCCAGATATTTCACCATAGCCGAAGTAGTTAGCCCCGCGGCATTATCTACACTATAAACAGAAGCAAGATCTACCGAATCCACAAAAAATAACGCTCGAAACGAACTAAACTGGAGAAAAAACCAAGAGGTTTTCGAAAAACGGTTTTTGCTGGGTTTCTCCTTCAGAGCAAAAAATGGGTTTTTGGGACGTTGTCAATGTGAAAGTGGAGGTCAAGAGCTTCAGTAGTATACAGTTTGCTAGAATTAAGTTCAAAACAACGAAGAAAAGGATAACAGAGCCAAATGTCCCGTGCCCCGCATTTGGGATAGCGAGGTAGCGCGCAGCGCGTGGAGACACAGGCAAGCAGAGGAGAAAGATCAGAGCCGACGGGGCATTTGGCTCTGGTCGTAGATCACTGCGGGGTATGAACAAAACCTTGCAACATTATATATCATTCTAATCGTCATAACACGATAAAAGCACTGACAACGTCGCAAGACCTGAAAATCACTTCTCAACCAGACTAACCAGCATTTCCGTGCGTGACTCTCCGCACAAGAGTTAAGCGCAGTTGCTCGTTATAATCTCTATGTATATATAAAGCAGAAAATCTGTGAGTTTGTTTGTGCACGTTTGGGTGCAGGTTGTGCAGGGTATGCAGGGTGTGCAGGTTGTGCAGGGCAGGTTGTGCAGGGTGTGCAGGGTATGCAGGGAATGCAGGGCAGATTGTGCAGGGTGTGCAGGGTGTGCCGGGTGGGGAGGGGGTAAGTGAACATGCCGATTCGAATACATTATTGACAGGGCCGGGCGAAGTCGGCTTTGCCAGCTCGTTAATTTACTAAAGCTCTAGTGAGTTTTTGGAACTCTAATTTGATCTGTAAAGAAATCAGTTGAGACACGTGCCTGAGTATCATAAGAATTCACATAAACCTCCTTTTTAGCTCAAAGAAGGCTTAAACGAGTTTTCTGGTTTTGCTGGATAATTTTTGAGATATTGCTCACTACATATTCCATACACATTAATTCCGATATGGTTATAATCTTAATAAATAAATAAATAAATAAATATCTGGAGCATAGCCAAGGATGATTCTGTTTTTGTTTTGTTTTTTAGTGAAGGTTGTGGTCTCTTATATCGCTCAAAATGAAGGCCACCAGGGTACACGGCTCTAAGTATCAAAGGTATGTGTCTTACACAACACCTTGCTTTGTAACAAGCTAAAAGATTTACGAAATACAATATCAATATGATTCGATACTTGTTATTTCCTCGAGGTATATGATCAAATGATTCTCATGCCACGGGAGAGTGGCACTTCCAAACAATGATAAATAATTAGACTGACTATAATCTTGCGTAATGAAGCTAGATCCCAAAGTCCCTCATTACAATCAATTTACAAATCCGCTCATCTACGCTGTTACACCTGCATTGCTAATACGAACCGTATGTTGTGCACCTAATTTGCACTTTTGAAAGCGTCATCATGAATGCGCTTCCCCTACCCA